CACACACACACACACACACACACACACACACACACACACACGCCGCATATTCCAAACTACACCCCCCAAACCTCTGTGTACACATGCCACCTCTCATATGGTCCTCCCCAGCCCACTCCTCTCAGTTTCTGCCATCAGCGCCTTAAACTCAGAGATCAGCAGTCATGGACGTCTGCGCTCTCCTCCCGGACCACCGTACACGCTTTTTTCCCACGTCAGGCCACATCAAAGCCCGTAGCAACATTTCAGCTGGAGGCGTTTTGGAGGTTTGATCCAAGGACAACATGGCTAACTAAGTTTTCCTCCCAACGCGTCACCGTTTTCCTCCATCCGACTCCAGGAAGAAGATGGTGTGGAGAGCTGATTTTTTTTGTTCAGAATCAGGATCGATGCCTGTTCAGTCGTCCTAAGCGGAGCCAGGACAGACGCACCGTCAGGTTTCTTCTTTTATTCAAGCTCTCTGAGCAGAGGATCCAGCAGAGCAGAAGATGTATTGGGAGTTGTGGCTGAGCCAGGTCACAGCTAGCGCTGCACTGCAGTGTAAACTGCTCCAGAGCAAAGGTGGGCTCACCGCGTCCCTCAATGTTTGGTCCCGACCGGCCTGATGGTCAGGTCACAGCCACACTGTTTAGCATTTAGATTGTGTAAGTCACAGCTTGGAAACATCTGCCGTCTCATGTTGTGTTTATGTAGAATGGAAACACTTTAACTTCTACCCCCCACTGGAAACAGCCGGGACACGGTTCAGTTGTTCTGATATGCATAGTTTTGGAAGAGGGGTCTATATAATAGTTACAGACGTGCGTGTCTACACATTATATTTGCTTTTCAGCTTTTGTTTCTTCTAAATGTATCAAATGTTCTTGACCTTGTTGGCTTTTGACTGTTACTTCCTATAAGTTTAGACTCTCCCTCTCAGGAGTGAGAGTTTAAGATGAAACGTCTCAGTAAAGATGGCCGTGTGATGATGAGCAAGCTGGTTTATTTCGCTAATGTTTGCCTGAGTGTGTCTGTGGCTGTGCAGAATGACATCAGAATGAGATATAACCGTCTTTTTCACTTTTACTTCTCTAATGGAAAGAGGTGCTTTCAGGGCAACCTGCTTTATTCTGAACACTCTGTAAACTTTTTAGATAAATGTTTGTTGCTTTGACTCAAATCACAGTGGTTTTTTCATTTTAAGCTCTATGATATGAACTGGAATCGGATGTTGAAGTTTTAAAAGAATACGTGTCATATTCAGCTTCAGAGATTAGTGCATTTTGATGCTACTCTGGTCACTTAGAGGTTTAATGCAGCTTTTCTGAGTGCTTGAAGGTGCCGGTAGTGCGGTGCTTGTTCACCGTTCTGGGCTGAGAGCGGTCCTCTCCCACTCACTGAGCAGCTGTCCAGACTTGCAGCAGCTTTGGCAGCTGCTGCTGAGTGCACGTCTTAGCTACGCATGTTCAAACCAGCCATTGTCTCTCCCTGGGTGTGTGTCTGTAGGCAGCCTGCGTAGATTTTTCCTATTTGCAACATTGCCGTTGCTCCACCCTTTTTACCTCTACTACAGACGCACAGAAACGCCACTCCCACCCCTGATCTTACCTGGCTCCGGCTGGAACCGGCATTTCTCTGTGTGGTGCCAGTGATAGCGGAACTCTTCAGAGAGAGGATTCGTTAAAGGGATGCCTTTAAAGTGCTTACAGGCCAGCAGCAGTTTTGAAGATGAGTGGGCAGCTCTGAGCGGCCCTCAGCTCCGCACCGGGTTCAGGCTGGGCAGCCCGCCCCCCCAGCCAGGTAGAAAAGCTGCACCGTAAAGCCTCATTATTAGCAGCAGGAGCTGGTCAGATGGTTGGACATTAGTCTGTTTGGACTAGACAAAGTTGTGCTCGGTTTCGATTCCAGAGTCGGATCTTTTTATCGACTAGTGTGAATGCCATCTTGGTACCTGTCCTCAGTTCATCTTGACAGTTGTTGACTGTTAATTTCTTTCCCCCAGAAGCTCTGACAGAAGCAGTGCGCTGGAGCTCCAAGGAGAACCTCCTGGGGGCGGCTGAGAGCGACCCCAACCTCTTCGTTGCACTTTATGACTTTGTGGCCAGTGGAGACAACACGCTCAGCATCACCAAAGGTAAGCCGGCAGCCAGCTGCCTCTGGATGTGACCAATTAGATTTAGTGTCCGGCCGAAACTTTTGCTCTTCTGCCGTCTGTCCGGGCACCCCTCCACTTAAAGCTGTTGCTAAGCAACGGCTCGCTCTCCTGTTGATATTTCCCTCTGTGTCATTGATTGTCTTCAGCCACACCTTCAAGTCCTGAATGTTGAGATTTGTTGCAATAACGCAGGAAGTCACGCAGGAGGAGCTCACACGACTGGCTCAGAGCCCAGTTATTCCTCTGCCAGTAATTCTTACCTTATTACAGGAGCAGGTAAGAGGCCAGCGGAGACTTTAGGCAGAGCGGCTCATCCTGATACGTGGTCTGTAGTCTCATAGGTCCTGCTCCCCCCTCTCCCTCCTTTAGCAGACAGTTGCACCTAGAGTTATGGCAGATCTGCTGGCCAGCGCTTTTAAAACCTTAAACCTGGCAGCGCGTTAACTCCTCATTTCAGGACTTCCACTGCCCGGAATGGAAACAATGTTTAGACCCTGATTCATGGAGTGAATCTGAGATTCTCTTCCCATATGAGAGCACATGTGCACTTTTCCTCTGTCACGTTGGCCCTGACGCTGTATTAGTGTGAAGTCACTTCCACCTCAGAAAGAACAGGTGGATACACACAGAAAGTGGTGGGGGCTTAGAGGGGCTAACGGTCTGCTCTGCCTCATGCCGGGCCGAGCCAGGCTCAGCCAGACCCAGTCCTCCTTTCCAGTGTGACACAGTGTTTCCACTCCCACAGAGGTCAGGGGTACGACGGCAGACACGGAGGAGACTGGTGGATTGATGGGCTGGCGGCGGATAATTATCTGTTTAATGTAATTCCCTGCTCCACTGCTGCAGTGTGTTTAGTTTTATGAGCTCATGCTGCAGCTCGTGTTATTGGTGGCATGTCTGAGCAGACTTCCTCCACTTCTGCTGCCGGGTTCGGTTCTGCCGGGGTAATGCGGGGCCCCGTCAGGTCCTGCTCCGGAGCCCAGAGCTGCTCATCCTCCACCGCCTCTCCCTCATATCTCCTGAGGTGACGTCAGAGACAGACCAGGAGAACAGGCCGAGCCCTAACATGCCTGCTTCTGCCTAGTTCTTTGTGAGGAGCATTCTCCCTACCCAGCCCTGTCATTATCCTCTAGCCTGTGATGTGGTTCCACTGAGGGGACGCTCGTGGCTCTGATACCTTTGTGTCTGAATTCCTTGATCTCTGTGTTGCTAGCGTCAGTCCGTGAGTCCATTCTGCCGGATTTCAGTCCGTTTCTCTGTGTGCAGGGGAGAAGCTGCGTGTGCTGGGCTACAACCAGAATGGCGAGTGGAGCGAGGTGCGCTCCAAGAACGGCCAGGGCTGGGTGCCCTCCAACTACATCACCCCGGTCAACAGCCTGGAGAAGCACAGCTGGTACCACGGGCCCGTGTCCCGCAGCGCCGCCGAGTACCTGCTGTCCTCGCTCATCAACGGCAGCTTCCTGGTCCGGGAGAGCGAGAGCAGCCCGGGGCAGCTGTCCATCTCGCTGCGCTACGAGGGCCGAGTGTACCACTACCGCATCAACACGGCCACCGATGGGAAGGTCTGAGCGGCCGCCCGCACGTCTGATACCGTACGGCTGAACCCCCTGCTAAACATGTCCGCTAACTGGGTTTGTGGTCCTGTCTCTGACCCCCCCTCAGGTGTATGTGACGTCCGAGAGCCGGTTCGCCACCCTGGCCGAGCTGGTCCACCACCACTCCACCGTCCCCGACGGCCTGGTCACCACGCTGCACTACCCGGCCCCCAAGTGCAACAAGCCCACCGTCTACGGCGTGTCCCCCATCCACGACAAGTGGGAGATGGAGCGCACGGACATCACCATGAAGCACAAGCTCGGGGGCGGCCAGTACGGGGAGGTGTACGTCGGGGTGTGGAAAAAGTACAACCTCACCGTGGCCGTCAAAACGCTCAAGGTGAGAGCAGCCCCTGGGTTCCCCTGTGTGATGGTCAGCACACGTTCAGAGTACCTCATTAAATGGGTGTGTGCTGGGTAAAACAGTGATAGGTCGCCACCTTCAGGTGGACGCAGGCATTACACATGATGCTCCTCAGTAATGCAATGTGCTGGAACTCCCACTGAGAAGTCTTTTTTGTGTCTTTCTGCATCACAGGAGGACACTATGGAAGTCGAAGAGTTTCTAAAAGAGGCAGCCGTCATGAAAGAAGTGAAACACCCGAACCTTGTCCAGCTCCTCGGTCAGTACTGAGCTGTGGAGGGGCCTGTGGTCCACTCTTCTCCACATTAGTCCTCGCTCCATAACAGTCTTCTGAGTTGAACTTGTTAGTGGCTGTGGTCATCTTGTTTTGTGTTTGTTGCCTCCCCCTCAGGTGTGTGCACTCTGGAGCCTCCGTTCTACATCGTGACGGAGTACATGCCACACGGGAACCTCCTGGACTACTTGAGAGATTGTGAAAAGGCGGAAGTAAATGCCGTGGCGCTGCTCTACATGGCCACTCAGATCTCTTCTGCTATGGAGTACTTGGAGAAGAAGAACTTCATTCACAGGTAGGGCAACTGTTTTGGGGCTCCGTGCACACGTGTATCTGCAGATACAAACACTTAGCATTTGTCTAAAAGCTGATCTCTCTTTCTTGTACCATCCTACAGAGATCTTGCGGCAAGGAACTGCCTGGTTGGTGAAAATCATGTGGTGAAGGTTGCAGACTTTGGTCTTAGCCGGTTGATGACAGGTGACACTTACACTGCTCACGCAGGAGCCAAGTTCCCCATCAAATGGACAGCCCCAGAAAGCCTTGCATATAACACCTTCTCCATCAAGTCTGATGTCTGGGGTGAATACTACATCCGCTTCCAATCCCGAGTCCTCCCGTTTGACTTTCACGTCTTTGCTAACCGTGGACCTTAATTGTGCTTTTCGACAGCTTTTGGGGTGCTACTGTGGGAAATTGCCACCTATGGCATGTCCCCGTACCCAGGCATCGATCTGTCTCAGGTCTACGATCTCCTGGAGAAAGGCTACCGCATGGAGCAACCGGAGGGATGCCCGCCCAAAGTCTATGAGCTCATGAGGGCATGTGAGTGATACCTGTTCGCCCACCGTTTATTGATCAGGCGGCTGCAAGCAGATTGTTCTGTAATTGTATTTATTTTGCATGAGCTTGTGAATTCACTGGGACTGGGAACCGTGCAGGTGTAGCCATGCCCACTCTGAAAACTGAAGTGGGTATTTATCCAGAACATTCTAAGCAGGGAAGTTATAAAAGTGGGCTATCGCTTTACTGCTGCAAAACAGGAAGAATACGAGCCTGATGAGGACGAGAGGTCATTAGATATACAACAGCAAACAAAATGTCAAACCACAGACACAATTCAATTTGGGAGCTTATGCTAATCAAAGGTCACCAACAGCAGATTTAAGTGTGTGAAATGGAGCTCATCCCGGCATCAGTAAGGCCGCCTGAGGCAGTGTTTAAAACATAGATCTGTCTTGTAACAAACTCCTTCCGTCTGTGTCTTCCCACTAGGCTGGCAGTGGAGCCCATTAGACCGGCCCTCGTTTGCAGAGATCCATCAAGCCTTTGAGACCATGTTCCATGACTCCAGCATTTCGGAAGGTACAATCACGTTTAGGTTCCACTTTTTTTTTTTATGTGTGTAGCAGTCTGACACAGCTGCCTGTTCCAGCAGTCCGCTGGCAGGAAGAGGCTTTTGGGCTGCGTTTTTCTGAACAAGCTAGCTTCAACTGGACTGCAGAGGATAGGCCTCCAGTTGTCTGTCATAGGTTTAGAAAAAGACAAACCGATGGAGCCCCTACTGCTGATTTATTTCAAGTGGGACTGAATGTCAAAGATTTTCACATTGCTCTCGAGAGGCAGATGTTTTTGAGCGTTTGGAGGTTGTTTGGTCCAGGTAAAAAAAAAGAGAAAAGCTTTAGCAAACAAAGCATATCCATTTTAAATGTGAAATTAAAAGGACAAGAGAAGCTTCAGCTGGACTTCTGTTTATGTAATTGTTGGATGGGTGTTCAGCTCATTTCTTCTGTGTGCCGTCTTCTAACCAGTGCTTCCCTCCCTTTCAGAGGTCGCAGAAGAGCTCTGTAAGACGGCCTCCTCTGGCCACTGTGGGCCCCTCCACTCCTTCAGCCACGACCTGCCCCTGCTGCCCTCCAAGTCCCGCACACTCCACAAGCACACCGAGAACAAGGAAAACATCGAGGGAGGTCTGGACGGGCGCTCCGACCCCGGCACGCACGGCCACTCAGGTACAGCCGGGCATGCCCGCCTCACTACCAGGCAGTCGGGGGGGGGGCCCCTTTACCATTCTGCAGGTACCCCCAGCGACACCCAGAGCCACCTGCAGCGCCGGCAGGCCCGCCGCCTCAAAAGAAGGGCCGTCATTTTCCTCCCCGAATGAGAGCTGCTCTCAGCAGCTCTGCCGTGCCACTTCCTGTCTCTGTCCTCTAAAGATCTATTGGTGCATTTAGAAAGTATTTCAAATCCAACCAATGAAACCTGTAACTGATTCCACGTCCTCTGACAACAAAAAGCCAAACAGAACCATCCAATAGAGCCACAGACCTCTGACAAACATGTATGTGCAACACTGGAAATAAAAAGCAATAAAATGATTGTAGAAATCACAATGTTTGTTCCATCCTTCACATTTTCACGAGCTACTGGGACAAGGGAGACAAAGTCAATGCTGTGGCATTTCTTTGGAACGCTTCTTGTCAGCCAGCACAGATTAAACTAAACAGTCAGTATCTTTCTGGTTTTTCGTCAAAAATGAAAACCATTCAGATGGAGAGCTGCTCATGTCATCGTGTTGAAGCACTCTAAATGGTTCTGAGACGTTTACTCACTGTGACACCTGTATAGAAATTACTTGTTTTCTGAATTTACCAAAAATTAACCTTTTTTTTTTCTGCCATGATTGTTGCAATATTATTATTTTCATATCCAAAGTAATGTTTATAATGTCATTGCTGCTATAACTTATTTATTCTTGTTCTGTCTTGTTTGATGGATGCAAAGCAGACCACTGTTTTGAGCCTGTTTTGTTTCTGTCTTAGCTTTGTTTAGCTTTCCATGCTTTGGTTCATACACACACCTTCAAAAATAAAGAAAAAACTCATTTATTCATTCATTAACGGCTGCATAAAAAAAGCTTTTTTCTCTTTATTTATGTAAGGTTTTACTTATTGGGATAACATTTTTAAGAATACGGTCAATAGCAGGTCTTAAGCTGTAGTGGATACAACCTCAGTTGAAAAACAGTCGATGCAGTAAATACAGAAGCACCTAAACACGGCCCATGATTTGGTAGCTTATTGAGCCTCCTCTTTGTGGAGATAAGCCACAGTCTCTCTAGATCTGCAGCATGACCCTTCACATTTGGCTCCAGTGTAATTTGAAAAAAAAAAAGGGGTCCTTGATGGCTCCTGTTAATACAAAACAAGCCCAAATCATCAGCCCTCCACCACCGTGCTGGACAGTTGAGCTGTTAGTGCTGCTGTGTTAGGCCCTCTCCAAATGTTACAAAGGACACAGTTCTAAAGAAAATCCTTAATCCAGCAAGCCTTAAAATATCCATCCAGCATTGCGTGTTCTGACCCAACGTTAAGCTCCATGGCAACAGGCCTAGATGTTCTCCACATGTGACCAATCTTTCTCACCCTTTAAATGATCCACTCCAGATTGTCTTAACACATATCAGTATCCCCTTTACCAACGCCTGTCTGCCACTTACTTTCTTTGTTTTATTAGAGTAAAAATGTGTGCTTAGTTCTTCACACACAGCTTCTACATGTTGCCTTAGTTTTTAACAGATGATGATTATGTAAAATATCATGTCATTCCCTACCTGTGCTTGGATGTACCTCATTTTAGAGCCTCGTCACGCAGACATGATGGTTTATCACATCTCTGATGGGTTAAAGAGAGTAATGTAAAAGATTTTAAGATGATTGTCTAATGATCTAATCAAACACTCTGTGAACATGCAAATCCAAACACACCAACTGACTCTAATCCTAAACCTGTCAAAGTTTTGTCACTTCCTGTTTGAAAGAGACCACATTTAAGATCCCAAAACAGCCTCCAATGTTTTACGTGAAGGGGGATTTTTATGTTTTTATTTTATTTGGTGCTTTAAAACTAAATCATGTGAGTAAATGAGAAGCAGGATGGGGAAATTAAGTTTGTTCAGATGCTGATATAGGTTATATATTAAGTTATATTTTCCAAACTCATTTGTCAGCAACTGTCTCATACTGCTTTATGTCTGGTGTAATCAACAGGTTCCTTAAGTAAAATGGATATGCTTTGTATTGGCAACTTGTAAATAATTCATTAACGTGCACACCTTCCTCTATATGTGTGTGTGTGTGTGTGTGTGTGTGTGTGTAGAATCATTAATGGAGTGAATAGTGGTTTAAAGCCTTTAGCTTCTAGGGCTATATGTGTTTACTTACTGTTCTCATTATTAATGTTAAGGAATGGTTGAAGCAAAATGGGTGATGATTATTACTGGTGTTATGTTTTGGGATCACGAGTCTTTCCTGTCTCCTCTGTCCAGGCTGGGCGTCCACTCTGCTGGGGGGGGACGGGCGGTCGGGCGGCTCCCCGGCTCTGCCCCGGAAACAGCAGCCCCGGGACAAGTCTCCCAGCAGCCTCCTGGAGGACGCGCAGGACGTGGGCACCTTCACCAGGGACCGCAAGACGGGCTTCTTCAGCTCCTTCATGAAGAAGAAGCCCTTCTCCTCCTCCTCCTCCTCGCCCCCCTCCCAGCTCCAGCAGAACCTGCCCACCCCCCCCAAGAGGAGCAGCTCCTTCCGGGAGATGGAGACGCAGCCCACCAAGAAGTACGAGCCCACCGCCGACTTCAGCGCCCCCCCGCCCTTACCCCACGTGGACAGCCTGGGGGGGTTCTCCCCCTCCCCCTCCCCCTCCCACTCCCACGGGGAGCCCGCGCAGGCGCAGTCTCGCTGCTGCGGGGCCGCGTTCGGACAGAAACCCTCCGGCGGGGGCCTTGGCTCTCAGCTGACCAGCGGCAGCAGCTGGGGGGGGCTGGCGGGGTTCTTCACCCCCAGGCTCATCAAAAAGACCCTGGGCCTACGGACGGGTAAGACCGCGTCCTCGGAGGACGGCGGGGGGGGCGTGGGAGGACCAAAGCCCTTCCCCAGGTCCAACTCCACCTCCTCCATGTCGGCGGGGCTGCCGGACCTGGAGCGCATGGCCCTGACCCTGCCCCGCAACCGCAGCGCCAAGCCCCCCCTGGAGAGGACCGCCTCCACCACCTCGCAGCCCGAGAACGGGGGGGGGGCGCGGCCCCCGGACGCCCTGCTGCGGAGGCTGGACGAGGGCACGGCGCAGATCAGGGACCGGCCCAAAGCCAAGCTGCTGCCCCGGGGCTCTGCCGGGGGGGGGCGGGCCCCGGGGGTGGGCGGGGAGGGGGGGGACGCGGACAGCCTGTCCCGGGTCAGGGAGGGGAAGGAGGAGGGCGGGGGGCTGGACAGGCAGCAGAGCTGGCCGTCCCCCTCTAAGGGTTCCAGTCCGGCCCCGGCGGGGGGGGCCCCCCCCCACAACCACAAAGTCCCGGTGCTGATCTCCCCCACGCTGAAACACAGCCCGGCCGACGTCCACCTGGTGGGGCTGGACTCTCAGGGCAACCGCTTCAAGCTGCTGTCCGAGCACCCGGGGGACCGCGACCGGCCCCGGCTGGTCAAGCCCAAGTGCGCCCCCCCGCCCCCGCCCACGCTGCGCAGCAGCCTGCACCACTCCTACAGCGGCGAGGGCGAGGAGCCGCCGGGCGGCGGGGGGGGGGCGCCCGGCGAGCTCAACAACGGGGACACGCTGAAGGGTCAGAGGTCAGGGCGGGCGTCCGGCGGCGCGGGCAGACCCTCGGTGCCGCCGCCACAAGTGCCTCCCGCCCCCTCCCCCCTCCCCTCCTCCTGCCCCGCCAGCGCCAACTCCACCCCCACCAAGATGGCCAACGGCGCCCCCCCGCCCGCCGCCGCCGCCTCCAAAGTGGCGCTGCGGCGGACCCGTCAGCAGGCGGAGCGGCCCCCCCCGGAGCGGGTCAGCCGCCAGGCGCTGCTGGAGAGCGCGGGGGGGCTGAGCAGCGCCCTGAGCGCCGAGGGCCCCTCCAGCAGCCAGGTGCTGGACGCCGGCCTGCAGCTGCTGGACCGCTGCTCCGGCTACGTGGACCTCATCCCGCACATGAGGAACAAGTTCGCCTTCCGCGCCGCCGTGGGCAAGCTGGAGCTCAGCCTGCAGGAGCTCAGGGCCTCGTCCTCGGGGGGCCCGGGGGGCCCGGGGGGGGCCGGGGCCCAACGCCGTGGTGGACAACCTGCACAGCTGCGTCCGAGAGATCAGCGACGTG